GCGCGCGATCAAACTTATTTGGTGCAAACCTGACCTGGACTGATGAGGTATTTATTATCTTTATCCAGTTTAATATGAATATTCAGGCTTAGTATTTCCTGCAGGCATGTAATGAGTTTCATTAAGAGTACTGCTCCAAGGCCAGGCGCAGTGGCTCACACCTGTAATCCTAGCTGGGAGGCGAGGCAGGCGGATTGCTGCGAGTCAGGAGTTCGAAACCAGCCTGAGCAAGAGCGGAGACCCGTCTCTACTATGAATAGAAGAAATTAATTGGCCAACTAATATATATAGAAAAAAAATTAGCCGGGCATGGTGGCCGTGCCTGTAGTCCAGCTACTTGGGAGGCTGAGGCAGGAGGATTGCTTGAGCCCAGGAGTTTGAGGTTGCTGTGAGCTAGGCTGACGCCATAGTACTCTAGCCTGGGCAACAAGTGAGACTCTGTCTCAAAAAAAAAAAAAAAAGAAAGAGAGAAGCTTTTATGAAGTATGACAGAAATATTTTGTTCTTGGCCCTAAACCTGGACATTGTCTTCCTTCTGTTTTCAGTGATACAAATGAAGTTGATGTACCTTTGAATAACAAGGGTGGGCACCAAACGCTACATGGCTCCAGAAGTGCTAGATGAAAGCCTAAATAAAAACCATTTCCAGCCCTACATAATGGCTGACATCTATAGCTTTGGCCTGATCATATGGGAAATGGCTCGTCGTTGTATCACAGGAGGTAAGAGCTTGAGTGGTATGTTTCTGATTATGTTTGTTTACCCTCATTTATTATTTATTTTTTTATTTCGGCATATTACCCCTCATTTAAAAATAACAGCTCCATGCCCAGCGCCAGTGGCTTATACCTACAGTCTCAGCATTTGGGGAGCTGAGGCAGGATGATCTCTTGAGGCCAGGAGTTTGAGACCAGCCTGGGCAACATAGTGAGACCCCATCTCTAAAAGAAAAATCATTTTTTTTAAAATAAGAAACTCTAGCTCCAGTTATATAATTTAGCTTATATAATGTCAGGGTTCCAAGAACACTCCAGGTTCTATAATTTCTCTTGAAGGACTCAAAGGTCTCAAGCATATGGCTGCTCTCACAGCTAAGATTTTTTTACGGTGAAAGGATTCAATAAAATTCAGCAAAGGGAAAAGGTGTCTGGGGCAAAGTTCATAGAAAACTAGACATGGCTTCCAAAAGTTCTCTCCCCAGTGGAGTCACAGGGGATGGACTTAAGTCTTCCCACGAGTTGTGACAATACGTGGGAAGTGTTTGTCATCCAGGGAAGCTCACTAGGAACTCAGTACCCATAGATTTTACTGGAAGTTGGTCACATAAGCATCCTCTGCCTGGCACGTACCAAAATTCCAGACTCCAGAAGGAAAGCAGATGTTCAGCATGCACCACATTGTTTGCACAAACATTTTAGGAACTGCAAGCAACCCTTATCATTTTTAGAAAGTGTTATGTCCAGGCCAGGCGCAGTGGCTCACACCTGTAATCCTAACACTCTGGGAGTCGAGGCGGGCCGATTGCTCAGGTCAGGAGTTCAAAACCAGCCTGAGCAAGAGCAAGACCCATCTCTACTATAATAGAAAGAAATTAATTGGCCAACTAATATACATAGAAAAATCAGCCGAGCATGGTGGCTCATGCCTGTATTCCCAGCTACTCGAGAGGCTGAGGTGAAAGATTGCTTGAGCCCAGGAGTTTGAGGTTGCTGTGAGCTAGGCTGACGCCATGGCTCTCACTCTAGCCTGGGCAACAAGTGAGACTCTGTCTCAAAACAAAAAAAAAAGAAAGTTTTATGTCCATGTAGAGAACTGTTTACCATTCAGGGTCCAGACACTGGGCAAGGGCCAACCCTGCAAGCAGGCCTTTCTAGGTAGAGCAGTCCCAAGCCTGCAGTGTAACTCTTATCTGCACATCATGGTAAGCCTTTCTGTTTCAGGGGGAAAAAATAACCATATTCATTAGTAGGAACAATCATGTAAGTAATTAATTTAAAATTTAGGATAAATAAATAATTTCATTGTCCATTTTTTAAAGAAATTTTGATATCCCCTTTGTTGATGGACTCTATCACAGTTGTAATGGGCCCACTGGTGGAGGTAGAGGAAATAATTGGGTATAAAGAAGAGGAAAACATACATTTACTATTGAAAGTGAATCATGGCCAGGCGCGGTGGCTCACGCCTATAACCCCAGCACTCTGGGAGACCGAGGCAGGAGGATCACTCAAGGTCAGGAGTTCGAATCCAGCCTGAGCAAGAGCGAGACCCCCGTCTCTACTAAAAATGGGAACAAATTAATTGGCCAACTAAAAATATATACAGAGGATGCACGGTGGCTCATGTCTATAATCCTAGCAGTCTGGGAGGCCGAGGTGACCAGATTGCTCGAAGTCAGGAGTTCGAAACCAGCCTGAGCAAGAGCAGATCCGTCTCTACTATAAATAGAAAGAAATTAATTGGCTAACTCATATATATAGAAACAATTAGCCGGGCATGGTGGCGCATGCCTATAGTCCCAGCTACTCGGGAGGCTGAGGCAGAAGGATTGCTTGAGCCCAGGAGTTTGAGGTTGCTGTGAGCTAGGCTGATGTCATGGCACTCACTGTAGCCTGGGCAACAAAGCGAGACTCTGTCTCAAAAATATATATATATATATACACACACACACACACACACACACAAAAATTAGCCGGGCATGTTGGTGCATGCCTGTAGTCCCAGCTACTCGGGAGGCTGAGGCAGGAATTTGAGGTTGCTGTGAGCTAGGCAGATGCCACTGCACTCTAGCCTGGGCAACAGAGTGAGACTCTGTCTCAAAAAAAAAAAAGAAGTGGATCATCCAGTGTGTATTTTTCTTTATGTGAGTTTTGGTTCCATAGTTCACAGACAGATGCGGAATACATTGGTGTATTTTGTCCAGCCATCGCTTTTATGCCCACTGTGTTTTGCCACTCCCTACAGGAATAGTAGAAGAGTACCAGTTGCCATATTACAACATGGTACCCAGCGATCCATCATACGAAGATATGCGTGAAGTTGTGTGTGTCAAACGTTTGCGGCCAATTGTATCTAATCGGTGGAACAGTGATGAAGTAAGTGGAACTCAATGCCCTGGGGAAGTGATTGGTAAATGTCACCAAAGATACTATCTACTCACTACATTCTTTGTACTTTTCAGTGTCTGCGAGCAGTTTTAAAGCTAATGTCAGAATGCTGGGCCCACAATCCAGCCTCCAGACTGACAGCATTGAGAATCAAGAAGACACTTGCCAAGATGGTTGAATCCCAAGATGTAAAGATTTGATACTTAAACAGTTATGAGGAGAAACTCCAGACTGCAAGAACTGTTTTTACCCAAGGAACGGATGGAATTAGAGTCGACGAAGGATATTAACTCGGTTCTCAGACTCTTTCTTCAGTACACATTCACAGGCTGCTAATATTAAACCTTTCAGTACTCTTATTAGACTACAAGCTGGGAACTTCTTCTAAACACTTCATTCTTTATATATGGACAGCTTTATTTTAAATGTGGTTTTTGATGCCTTTTTTTTTATTAGGTTTTTATGAACTGCATCAAGACCTCTATCCTGATTAATAAGTCTCCAGTCAAACTCCGGGTACTGAATTGCCTGTTCATAAAATGGTGCTTTCTGTGAAAGCCATAAGAAGATAAATAAGTTCAGCAGAAATGGAAAAATATACACTTTTGCCTTCTGAGAAAATTTAATCTGTTTGTATTCTACCTTTGTAAAACAGCCTGTAGATTATGATCTGCTTGGGATACTGCTTAGTTTATGGTAGTTTGTCATGCCTTCCGTGATCGTGTTGAGTGTATCTGTGCACACCAGGATTCCTCTGCTGCCATTTGAATTAGAAGAAAATAATTTATGAACACACAGGAAGATATTGGTGGCCAGTGGTTTTGTGCTTTAAAAATGCAATATATGACCAAGATTTGCCAATCTCGTAAAAAGCCATTTACCTTGCAAGTGAGATAGTTGCCCAACCAACTTTTATTTTTTAACATAAAAGTTGATATAAAAGCCAAAAGAAGTTTAAAGTGTCTATAAATTGGACTGTTTTCCTTCCACGGCCATCATTTTTTGGGTAGTTATTTTTGTCGTGGAAAGCATCCCATCCAAAGTTGGAGCTCCCAATACAATGAACCATGTTCATAAAGAAAGCACTTCTTATTGAAGTAAATTACTGCATTTGATAGCAATGTAAGTGCCTATAATGGTGTTCTGTATTCTTTATTCTCAGCAACTTTTTAAAGGGAAGTTATTTATATTTTGTGTGTAATGTGCTTTATTTGCAAAATACTCCTTTACAACCATCTTTTATATATCTGCATAACATTCATACTGTAGAAACCAGCTGACATGTACCTCACATCCTATCCTTAAGGGAAAAAAGTTATAAAGTAGAACTTACTATGAATTTTCAGAATTAATGTATTCAAAGTAATATATCAAATCTAAGCCTTTGTTAAATTCAGGTAAAAACTTAAGATAATATCATCTCAGTTTTCCTTTGTGAAAGGATTTCTAATTAGAAATTTACATAAGCTGATATAAATTTATCAATAACTGTTAAATATGTTTTAGGCATCTAAATCATTTGATAATTTTGTTTTTATGATTTCTGTTCCCTAACTTGTGAAGACAATGAAGAGTCAGGCAGAAAAGTCCGGTCTCTAGTCAGTATGTATATGTACACTGTATCGCTGTTATTCAACAAAACGATACATATTTTATAGATGTCTTGTTATCTCAAGGAATAATTCTTATTTACTTAAATTTATTATACTTCTGTGATGCTTTTTAAATATTAATCTCCTGTTCTAAGTATACAACTCATGAGACATTGAGTGAGACAATTTTCTTTGATCACTGCATAAAATGAATGTGATTCTATCACAACAAAGCCTAAAAGGTTTAAATTCAATAGGGCAAACTCAGAGCATGTGTCCATTCATTACCAAAATTTTGAGTGTAATTTAAGGTTAAAACTTAAATATTTGTCTGCACATTAAATTTCACAAATTTGAAACTTGCCATAACCATTTTAAGTTTGATAAGTTTCCTCTAACATATTTAAAGTTCAAAGTGTTGAAGATAAGTAAATTTGTGTATTGATAATACTCAGTAACTTGCTTTTCTAAGATTTTTTTCCCCATCTCTATACTAAGAAATATAGGTATTTTAATCTAAATTGCCATGTGATTTGAGGACAGTTATGACATCTGATTTACTAAGTTTTAGTTAACCTTGATTTATTTTTGACTTGGTAAACTATAAATCTTGAAAATCATTTGTCATCTTAATAATAAAGAAAATATATAAGGAAATACAAACTTTATTCTTAGAAATGTTAAAATAGTATATGGAAGCAAAAAATTAGTTTATGAGACTACTCTAATGATTTCTTTTAATTAGCTTGGTCTAGTGAAAGTGATAGCAAGAGTTAACCTTAGAAACTTGTTGAGTTAAAAACATTTTCTAGTATAACTTGTTCTTTAAAAAGCAAATGTTGCTATATTTGGAATCCTTTTTTCTAAAAGAGTTGAATGAAACTTGTTTTCTTTTCTCTTTTCCACTCCTGAATCTGAAGCTCACCCAATAAGTGAAATACTGAGAGAATATGGCAGCCCAGCAAGAGGAAGTATTAGGTGGTAACATAGTTAGGGTTCTGGGAGCCATTATTGGGTCCCACTTACAATTTAGCATTTTAAAAATATGTGGCCTCCGTCAGTCATCCCTTTAAATAATTCAAGCATAAAAGCAAACAAAAAAATCCAAAACTACCTAAATATAAACAGTAAAAGTTAACCGTCAAAGAGAATTCTCCTTATGATTTCTCTTTATGCTGGTAAATATCTCTAGGATTAAAGGCACATTAGGATTTGCTTCAATGTATTTATTCTTAGCTTTCACTTGCTTTCTTTTTTAACAAATTTCTGAAGTATAAAATTTGAGTCTGATTTCTCTGGAAGTATTTTCACAAGAAATACTTTGATCAACATTTTATGTTGCCTTTTCAATGTCCAGAGGTATTTCTTAAACTTAGAAAGTAACCTATAGTTTTTGAAAATTATGTTTTCCTAGAATGTGCCAGATTTTTAAATTTAACAAATATTCAACACCTTATGTTTTGTTTCTGTTTAGAACAAAAGCATACAATAGTTTTTAAAGAATCATGTGTCCCCAATTTGGCCTAAGATCAAATTTGATATTGAATAGTTTATTCCAGGGCAGATATTATAAATTAAAACACATTTCATATATGTGAATGTTTTGAAATGTTTAAAAATATCTAAAATAATTTCAACAGCAGAAATATTAATTGATATTTTTAAAAAAGTGTTATAGCCCTTGCTTGTATTGTTTAAAAGCGGTAAAATTCATTATTGACTTGAATCAGATGTTAAAATTTTAGTGTAACAGTTCATCTGGCCTTAGTGCAAGATGAGTCACTGTGGAAACTGCAGAGGGGAGACGTGTTCATAAGAACCAAATTAAATCTATGGCAGTATCAGATGAAGCCATGTTTAACAATGGTCACAAAAGGAAAGTATGTGAATACAGCTTTGCGAAGGATTAAGTATGTCATTGTAATTTTAGCTTGTACTCTGTATTCTGCTTTCAATGGGATTATTTAAGCCCTTTTAGTGACTTTTGTCCTTGCCCATTTAAAAACTAAAATGTAGTACATATTGTATAAAATGAAAATACCATCATAGCTTAATTAGGGATACTGTACATAGGCATTGAAAGAAGGCTAAAAACAAGCAGTTTTATTATGCAATTGTAAAACACCAAAAATATAGATTCATCTTTGATATGTAACACACTAAATGTATTTTGTACAGCATCTGGTTTAAAAGGTGCCTTATTAAGTTTACCATTAATTGCTTTGTTCTATATACAGATTATGTCCAATGTATCATTTTTAAGTAAATAACCTTATTTTAGTATACTTTAGTGATGTGTTTTGTGATACCATACTTGGATTGTATTGTGTATCAGAAGTCATCTGGTGAGATTTCATAAGAGAGAAGTTAGTATGCAGACATATGTTCCTAAGATGTGTGTTTCAGCTACCAGAACTCAGTGATAGAGTGTGTGCAGGTAAGTGATTGTGTGCTCTTTTTCTTTGTGTAGGTAGAGAAGTTAAACCTATTAGAGGGAAGGGTTTTTTTCCTTTACAAAAAGAAAAAACAAACATCATTTTCTGATTATAAAAATATGTACTCATAGCAGAGATTTTTGGGAAACGTAAGAATAAACCAGCACATAAAAATCACTTAAAATTCTATTACCATACATTACCACTATTTATATTTGAATATTTCTTTTTAATCTTTTTCTGCTGCATTTTTTTACAGTATTAAAATCATAGCATGCTATTAAATATCCACTGAAAACATAGTTTCAAAAATAGGACTGCAATCCTAGCTCTCTGGGAGGCCGAGGTGGGTGGATCGTTTGAGCTCAGGAGTTCGATGATTCCTGTAAGGAATCTGTAATAGCTATCTCCAAACATGCCTTTCTTTTGCGGGACACTGACAGTACCAAAACTTAGAGGACCTAACGTGTGCAGAGCCCTAAGCAAAGCATTAGGAGGCACGTTGACTGGATGGATTGCACACAACGAAGACAGCCGGCCGGGGTGCGAGACTCACTGTAGGTGGGAAAATGAGACACTGTTGTGGAACAGAAGGAAAGCCAGCCAGGGCTTTGCCTCCGCTGCAGCAGGAACACCAGACATAAGGCCGGATAAGGCCGGCCGGCCGCGGTGGCTCACGCCTGTAATCTAGCTCTATGGGAGGCCGAAGGCGGGCGGATCGTTTGAGCTCAGGAGTTCGAAACCAACCTGAGCAAGAGTGAGATCCCATCTCTACTATAGAAAAAATTAGCCGGGCATGGTGGCGCATGCCTGTATCCCAGCTACTCGGGAGGCTGGGCAGGAGGATCGCTTGAGCCCAGAGTTTGAGGTTGCTGTGAGCTAGGCTGACGCCACGGGCACTCACTCTAGCCTGGGCAAACAAAGTGAGACTCTGTCTCAAAAAAACAAAACAAAACAAAACACATAAGGACAGATAAATGCCATTCCATTACTGTAATTAAAAGAAGAGAAAACTGGGAAGTTACATGGACCAGGCAGTAAGGTGAGCACTTCATGAACTGCTGGTAGGAATATAAATGGAAACACGTTTTGAGAAGCAATTGGGAATAGTTTTCAAACCTTAGATTTTTTCATCTTAAATAATCTCTTAAAAGTTCATATCCACTAGTCTCATTTTCAGATATAAAAGTTATCGTTCCAATATTTAAACGGGATACAATCATAGAAATAAATTATTCCATCTACTGGTAGAAATATCATGCCAGTCATATTTTTATTTATGTACTTATTTACTTATTTATTTTATTAGAGATGGGGTGTCACTCTTGCTCATGCTGGTCTCCTGAACTTCTGAGCTCAAAAATCCTCCTCCCACCTCAGCCTCCCAGAGTGGTAGGATTAACAGGTGTGAGCCTCTCCCAGCCTGCAGTCTATTTTTTTTTTTTTTTGAGAGAGAGCCGCTTCTGTTGTCCAAGGCTATAGCAGCCTAGCTCATAGCAACCTCAAACTCCTGGCTCAACAGCGATCCTGCTGCCTCACCCTCCCGAGTAGCTGGGACTACAGGCATACATTAGCATGCCTGGCTAATTTTTCTATAATTTAATTAGTTGGCCAATTAATTTCTATTTATAGTAGAGACGGGGTCTCGCTCTTGCTCAGGTTGGCTTCC